GGTCAACTGGAAAGATGACGACAACGTTCACGTGGTTTACAATTCGAATGCCCACATGAAAGGTTACATGCCATTAGGATATTGAGTTTGGTTTCCTAGAAATGAGGGCAATGGGAGGAAAAAACGTCCAGGACGGGAAGCCAGAAAGGGGTTCTGGTCCTCGTCTGCCACTGTCTGGATGTGACCTTGAATAAGGCCTTTCTCTCTGGGCCTCCGTCTCCTCACCTGTTGCACAGGAAGGCCGACTCAGGTCCCTAAGGTCCCCCCAGGGCTGTCTGGGAGCATCTATCCCCTGGTCTCGTGTTTCAACGTGCTGATAACAAGCTGGCCGGCTAGCTTCAACTGTGCTGGGCTTGCTCCCTGAGGCAGGGGCCCAGGTGGTGAGGCCTCTCGTTTATCGTCTAACAGACAGTGACCACAAGCTACGGGTGAGGGAGGTGTGCGAGCCAGGACAGGGTAAGCGAAGCCATCAACAGACTTACTTCTAAAGAATGGAAATGTTGATACTAAGACTTTGGCCTATATTTCCAGTTCACAACTGAATCTTAGTGTGTAAGCGACATACAAAAATACTTCATTTAAACAGCTACCATCTGCTGCCCCATCCTGTTGAGTACGTCCCAGAACACTTGCCACCCCTTTCCATGGGGTGACCAACTTTTACACTCAAGGTGCATGCTGGTAACTGAAAGGGTGCCCGACACAGGTAGAATGCAGGGGGTGGGAAACCCATGGCACGTTTGGTTCTCCCTGTTACCCATCATACACTGGGCCTGAACACAGGAAGAGCAAAGGCAGTTAAAGGCCCTTCAGCATTAAGTTCCTTACCCAAGAACAGGGAGCTCAGGGAGGAGGCCAGGCCATTCCTATCATTCCAGTTTTAGAAGCTCCACGTCAAAGACGAGAGTGGCATTTGGTGGGATGATGCCTGGGTGCCCAGTGGCCCCATAGGCATAGTCTGGGGAGATAGTCAGTTTGGCTCTCTGACCCACGCTCATCTGTGAAAAGAACAAGGAAGACAGAGTCAGCTGGACACGCTCCCCAACTGTCTCCCTAGGAAGCAGAGCTGTTTACCTCGCTGCCCGTTGGCCAGGACGGTGTGACTAAGACATTCCAGCGTCTGTGCAGCCGCCTGGGCGCCAGGCACCCCCTGCCCTGTGCAGGACATGAGGCTGGCAGCCAGACTGGACAGTCCCTGCATCTGGCTCCCAGGGGCCCAGTGGCAGATAAAAACTCCTGGATTCCTGAAACGGTCAGGCCCTCAAGCTTTCCTACTGACCTGACTCTATCCAGAAGTGTCACCACCTAACCTTTCAGTGGCCTAAGGACATGTGATGTGGCATCTATGCTCTTAAAAAAGGGGTACTTTAATCAAAACTTTGGTACACACACACACACACAAACACGCACACACAGAGTAATATTTGGGGGTAGTCTACTTTTCTGTATTTTCCATATTTATACTCATATTTCAGAAATATAGAAAAAGGAAAAAAACACAATATGCTTTTCAGAGGTACAAAGCAGCATGTACACTATGCCACCACTTATGCGAAAAAGAGGAAAATACTGGGTTGTCAGAAAAGTCATGACGCATTTTTGCAATGAAACACAGAAAAGAAACATCATGACTTTTCCGACAACCCAGTATTTCTATATTTGTACCTGCCTGTATAAGCCAGCGTTTTTCTATAGAGAGGCTCAGTACAGTGGCCAGGGTGGAGGGAAAATCTTCTCTTTAAAGAAATATTTGTACTTTTTTCATTTTCTAAACAAATACAAACATAAGTTGAAATGTCTATTTTCTGAGGACTGAGCACGTGCTCTGCTGTATTTCCATCCTTTAGCCCAGGTGGCGGCAAACTTTTGAACAGAAAGCCAATCCTGTCCCTCACAACAATTTAAAAATTATTTGAGAGCCATAAAACAAATGAAATCACCAGTATGTGAATAATATCCTCTAAAAATTTTATAAATGAAACTATGATAGTTTTATTTTCATTTTCAATTTTACTTCAGAGCCACATGTACGTACCCAAAGAGCCGCATTTGGCTCATGAGCTGCAGTTTTCTGACCCCTGCTTTAGCCTATCTCTTTTAAGTCTCCACATGTGCATTCGGGGCTCTCTGACCCAGCCCAAAACACAGTGACTAGGGGGAAGCAGCGGGCTACAGTGAAGTTTCTAACGCAACTAACTCAGACACCTCGCTTCCTACAGCTCCCTTCAGGAACAGGGACATGTTGGACCAGGGTGGGGAGGACAGTTAAAAGCACAGGGCTTAATCTAATAAAATTCAAAATGATCATGTCCTTTTACCCAGCAATTCCACTTCCAGGATCTGCTAACAACCCCAATGCCCATTACAATGGGAGTATGTCAAAGGCACGTCTACACCACGGCTTAGCCACTAGAAAGAATCTAGCGGCCTTCCATGGAAAAGATGCTCCAAGTACATCATTAGATGCAAGAGCAAGCGCCAAAGCAGTACTTGGGGCAGGACTACACGTGAACATGTAAAACCAAAACAGTAATATCAAAAGAAAGGGGAAAGGGGCACAAAACAACCCCTTCTTCTTGTGCTTGAAGACATGTTCTGTGGAGTTTAAAAGAAGATGCTCTACATAGCTCTCAGACCACCCAGACTTCTCAAGTGACAAGCTGTGACTGATCCCAAAGCACACTGGGTCCAGGGGGAGACTGGGCATCTCCCCAACGCCCTGCCATGCCTCGTGCCAAGCCTGGGATGTGAAATAGGCTGATAACATGATCTCAGTGGCAGTTAACGGCTCCTGGAACACACAATTATTGTTCCAGTGCTGGAACAGCCACAAAAGATGAGTTGTGGTGCGGACAATGGTTGGCACGAGAGATGGGGGGTGGGCTACAGACCCAAGAGCTGGCCAGACGCACGGGGCGGGAGACAGGATGAGACAGAAAGGTACGGTTGGCAAGGTTTCCAAAGGGATGTAAACTATAAGATCGTGTCCTTGTACCGCCAACCTTCTGCCCTGCAGGGACAGACATCTAGACACCTGGGAGTGGGGTGGCTTAATGTTTCTGAAAGTTAAGCAATTTATTTGGAGATCGTTCAGGGATATTTTATAGAGGAAGTGGAGCAATATCTACTCTGGAAAAGAGAAAGACAGAAATGTCTCTCTACACTTTGGTTAATTCTCCAATTCTCTTTGGTGAGAGGGAAACAGACTAATTACCCATCACGCCGGGCCTAATTATAAAGCCCCCTGGGTCTCGGGCCACTGTAAACATCCCTTTACCTGGTCAGTGCCAAGAAAAAAATTCCTGGGCTCCATGGAAGGACAGAATTCAACTGAAATTTGGCAACCCTGGGTCCCCTATTGTCTACTGGGAATTTCGTAGTGTTGGCAGAACAAAAGCTGTTTACACAAATGGGGAGGGGAGAGGTGAAGAAACAGACTCAAGACAAACAAAACGACTTTCTCCATGAACATGACCTCTCAGAAGTGGTCTGACACAACAGGGTCAATAATAAGGCAAATACAAGTTACAACTACACCAAGACACATTTCACTCATTAGAGTGTCCTGAAGCCCAAAGTTTAACAACACTCTGTGCTGGCGGCCTGGGAGGAGGTGGGCACCTTCCAGCCCGCTGGTGGCAGTTCACAGTGTAGTCGCTACAGATGGCAACTTGGCAACATGCCAGACTGCACACAACCACTAAACCACTCACTTCACTATGGAAAGTTTGCCTGTGGCCACATTTGCACAAATGTAAAATAAAGACCATATAAGATTAGTCACTGGCAGCACTATTTACAATAGCGAAATACTAGAAACGACCTAAATGGCCACCAATAGGGTACTGGTCACAAATGGCCACCAATAGGGTACTGGAAACAAAATGCAGCTGGCAGAAAGTTTTTCTGTTTTGTTCTGTTATATGAAGTGTCAAAGATAGGTTAAGTGGAAAAGCAAAGTGCAGAACAATGTGTGCATATATCTAAAAGTAAAAAGAAAATAAGACAGGCGTTACATTTTTGTACACGCATGTGCTTAAAGAAACTCTACAAGAAACAATAACAGGAGCTACCTGCAGGTGGGATGGGAGTGAAATTTTTCACTTGCACCTGTTTTGATTTTCGAACCATATGAAAGTCCTACCCGTAAACATAGTTTAAAAGGTAGACACTAGGAAACAAAGCAAAACAAATGAGAGCATACCTGGGCAACCCCTTCTTCCCAGCCTCGGATCACTTCCTGCTTGCCTAGCATAAACTTAAAGGGCTTGTTTCTGTCCCGGGAGGAATCAAATTTCTTTCCATCTTCAAGCATCCCTGTGAAAAAGGGCAGTTGTAACATGAGCAACAAGGAGGAATGACATGAGGCAAGTCAGAAGCCAGCAGCAGGGTACAAATCCCAGATGCCAGCAATGAAGGGCCTGGCAGGGCGTCCTGGGCCTGAGGAGTAACTGCAGCGTCCAGGGAGGGTTTCCTGTGTCCTCAGTGGGCCCCTAAGGAGCTGAGGTAGTCACTCGGCCCCGGGCTTGTGAATGCTCTTCCCCGACTCCGAGCAGCATGCTGACCACCACAGGCAGGCAGCAGTCCACCTTGGTCTGCAGGAGGGGGAAGTGGACACACTTGTGGCGTGCATTTCCAGCACGCTGAGGATTCCTCCCAGACTTAGAACCGTGGGCCCTTTAGGCACACATAATGGCTGAAAGTCACATACAGTAAAAGAAGCAATATTCCTTCCTCAATTCACCTGCCACCTTTTACAGAAATGTGGGAAGTGTCAGACCTGAACTGAATTGTAGGATACCAGTTGGTGTTGGAGAATCAGAGAAGTGGCGCTGGAAAAGACACAAAAAACCTCTTAGCACTGAACGGCTAACAACTCCAGTTAGCAGTTCTGGAAGCAGTTCTGTGTGCAGGGAGTGAGTGGGCTGGGCACTTTCCATGCATAAACTTTTCCAATCCTCCCCACGACACTGTTCCCATTTCACAGGTGAAGGTACTGAGGCAGAGCGAAGTGAAGTAACTTGCTGAACTAGTCACTCCGGACTTTAACCATGTTCATTTCATTCTACGATCCCAGTTTCCCAGGAGCCAGACAACTATGATGGCACTCTCTACGAAAAGGGGGGATTCCAGAGATCCAGAGATGGAGATGTCAGAGGGCGAGTGCCATGAGAAATGAGGAACAGACATCTGCAACTTCTCGTCCAAAAAGAACGTCAGCCCTGGTTTCTCAGGAAGTCAGTGTCAGCCAATTGTGAGAGCTGTCTGTGACTCAGGTCCTGAAAGCTCTCACACTGCAATCCCAGACTGGAAAGGGTCAGCCAGTTGTTGCCACATAATTAACACAAATGATTCCCTTGGAGACTGAGTGGGCACATGGTTCTAAGCATCACTCAGAAGACCCAGCAAAATACAGAATTCTGCTGCATTTGGATTTTTTAGAGGAGGAGGAAAATCCCAATCTAACAAATGTCAACACTTGTAAGTGGGATGAGGAAGCAGAGCTCAATAGAGAGCTTTATCACAGCCACCAGACTATCTGCACTTTGACGAAATAGGAAACAGGAGTGGGAAGTGCTGTCCTAACAGAGCAGGAGCGGAGAGAGACGTCCTGGGGACAGAGTGAGTGCTCGCACCGCCTGGAGCCTGGAGCTACTAGGAGTGAGACGGACAGGAGGACGGGGGTCCACCCCTGCCAAGTCAGAGCCGGGAACTGGTATCCCAGGACTAGCAAGTTGGGGTGTACGTGAAGTCCATCTCTTTACCAGAACACAACCACGACTTGACGAAAGAAATGACAAACGGCAGGACGTGAACAGTTTTCTATAAATGAGTAACTGGGAGACTAGGTCATCACTCTCCACAATCCTCACTGTAGACATACATCCCTTTTACCCCATTTTGAGCTTTACTTCATGCACTGAATCCAATCCAACTGTACTCAGTGTTAAGGGTGAGAACAGGCAATGAACAGCTAAGATTCTCAGATCCTTTCTTGGCCAGGCAGGGAGTCTTTCCATCTACCCCCCCGAGACTGCTTGTAACAGAAATAAGGGCACCAACTCCCAGGCTCAGTAACCAGCTCAAGGTCAGAGCCAGTGAGCAGTGTGGGGTCTGGTTCTAGCAAAAGGCTTTATTTAGCCCAATGGGGGCTGTGAACTACAAAGGAGACTGAAGCCCAGATATAGCCTCTTCCCGGTCTGCGCTCTTCAGAGCAGACCTTGAATAGAGTCCTGGGGCTTTCTGAGCAGCCATGATGGATAAGTCACTAGATGAAGAACCCTTCTGGGAAAGAGCCAAGGATGAGCAGGTGGTCCCTGGTCCCTGAGCCCCAACTATCTGCAAAGGCTGGCTGGACAAAACCCACAAAGAAAAAGAAAACCTGCCCAGAGGGGCACCTGGAACCCAGTCTGTGCCACATTCTAGACTTTGGAAAATCCAGACTCAGTACCCCTCCACCCTGCTTCCTAACTATCAGCTTTCCAGGAGCAGCAAAAGCCTGGCCCGACAGATGAACTGGAATCAAGTTAAGCCGTTCTCCTCTACCAGGGTTGATGCTGGGTGGGCATATGGGTCAGTCTGGGCACTCAGACCAACTGTGAAGTCTACTGGAATCTTGCAGGAAAGACCTGACTCACTGGTTAAAAAGAAAAACAGACTCAGGAAGAAAGCTCCTGCCCTCCCTTCCTGTTGAATGCTGTTGTGTGAGGATGTGATGTCTGGAGCCATGGCAGCCACCTGGTAACCATGAAAGGTCAGGAGGACCACACTGATCTGAGCCAGGCCCAAACCACCTCCCTCAAGACGTGTGTTCTAAGGTGATTAAAAGTCTGCTTTGCCTTAAGTCAGGTTTTCAGTTACTAGTAACCTAACTGGTATGAAGTAAATCTTTACTTGACATTTACCTCACTGTAATGCTGCCATGAGAGGAGTAAGAAATGGAACTCAACAACCCACATCCCAGAGCTATCACTGGCTGTGATGACAGACCAGAGTGCTATGTCAGGATCCAGTACATATATAAACGCATATAAACAAAACAAAATTTATATGAAGTAGTTACTACACGGGACACATTCCTCACTTTTAAAAAGAATGCTGATTGTGATCCCTAACTTTATTTCATGATACATTAACGGGTTGCAACTCAGTTTTAAAAATACAGTATACCTACAAAAGAATTATCCTATTTCCCGCCAAATCTGAACATGTCCCCAACTAGGGCAAGACAGTATTTGAGTGCAATGAAAAACCACAGGTGGGCCAGCCGAGTGGCGCGATGGTTAAGAACTGGCTTGGGATGCCAGAGGGCCCCGGTTCGGATCCCACATATGAGGGCCAGTGACACTGCTGCCCTCCANCCACCCATGCCCCAGCCCCGACCCCAAGTCCATTCAACAAATGGAAAAACCCAGAAACAGGGAAGTTTGGTGTCTAAGCCTTAGCAGAGGTCAGGAACAGAATTAGAAAGTTTTCCTGAATCGTAGGCCTGTGACTATAACTATAATGCTTCCCAGAAAAAGGATAAAAGCCAATAGCAACGTAAGCCAGGCCCAGCCAGCCCCACTGGTGCTCCCGGCTTTTTGGTCCCATTCTGGGGCTCAGGGACTCTGAGCTTTGGGGAGCCTGAGCCAAACCTCATCACTAGTGGAAATGGGTGGGGGTTCTCAATTGGTCCAGATCAGTCAATTCTCCATATTTAATTCTGGCCAATGACCATGAGGGGAAAGTGGGTGGGTGGGAGGGTGTCAGGTAACACTGTGTAAGACTTTGAAGTAGGTTCTGCCCCTCCCTGATAGCTGGGTGTTCCACCTAGCCCACCCTTCTGGGTCGGCTCCACCTTTCACTCTTTAAGCTTCTTTACAATTATGTAAATTGAGGGAAACTGATAATGCAGGTGATTCCTGTCCACAGAAATGCAAATTGCATCCAGTAGAATGTCACTGAGCATTGCCTTTTGGATATCGGCCAATTCTACCAGTTTGGTATCCTACTGGGATTATTATATAGCAGGTCCTTGAATAATGTGGTTTCATTGTAACACTGGTGAGGAAAAAAAAAAAATCGATTTCCAGCAAGGGCCACTGTCTGTGTGGGGTTTGCACGCTCTCCCTATGTCTGCGTGGGTTTGCTTCCACATCCCAGAGGTGCACGTCAGGTGAATTGTCTGAATTGTCACAGTGTTTGTGTGGGAGTGTGTGGGAAGGTGTCCTGTCCTGGGTGGGTTCCCAACTCGTGCTCTGAGCCCCCAGGAGAGGCTCTGGCCACTGGAGACCCTGAACTGGGGTGAGTGGGAAGATAATTCTCGTTTTTATTAATCTTTCTTAAATGTACATATAGCGCACATTTATTTTAATGGTTATTACATGTGTTTTGGGTCTTTATTTAGTGCTGTTTTTGTGATCAGAAATATGCAGTAGGAATCTAACTTTGCTTATATCAATTAGCCTAGGATAAAACTGGTTTTGTTATACCGTTTCGCTTCAAGTTACACTTTCCCAGGCAGGACCTATGGGTGACATGAAATGAGGACTTACTGTGTATTTATTNCTGCCCTCCACAGCTAAGATGCTGAACAACAGCTCAACCTAGAGCTGGGCTGCCCTGAGTTGCTGGCGACGGCATAGGCTGCAGCCCCTGTGGCAGTGGATTGCCATGGGCTACCGCATGTAGCCAGCAGCCAGAGTGAGCGGGCAGCAGCCGCCCAGAAGCCAGTGACTGATCTGCCTCGCCCGGGAAGAGCGCAATGATGGTGCCAACTTGGGCCAGTGAAGCAACGTCCTCTGCAACTAGACTGAAGACCAAAACGACAGCAACTTGTCTCTTCCCCTTCCCCCAATTCCCCAGCACTGTTCCCATCCCCCCAATTCCCCAATAAAAATCTTTAAAGAAACAAACAAACAAACAAAAACAACCACAGAGTACTGAGACATATTCCCTAAACTTTCTTTTATTCCTGATCAAACGTATTTCCAAGCAACCTCCAGATGTTACACGCATCCATCCCATTTTGCATGGAGGTAAGATGCTTCAATGTCTGACCAATAACCAGCTGGAGCACAAGGTGGGACCCAGCCTCTACCTGCTGCTGAGCAATCCTGGAGAACTGGATGCTCTTCCCGTGAAGAGGCCGTGGGTCTGGGAGGTCTAACCTCAGCTCTCTTAAGGTCTTCTGGGACATTGAGGGGTGATGCCTCTTCTTATTTTAAAAGACTGTAAATGCCAACAAGTAGAATTTCTGAGTAGAGGGGCTTTAAGCAGGAGCTTTGCCAAGGATCGTCTTCTCCTACCCTAGTTCAGATGAACTGCTGTTCCTG